AAATGTTTTCAGGCTTCAAATATCTCATGATTTATAATTTCATCTCTGTCTTAATCTAGATTGCATCTAAAATTAGGAAAAAACTAATGAAACCTTAGGAGCATGGTGCTATATTTAAATTGTGTGGAGGAGAAATGAAGATCAGGGTTACAGAGTTTATTATTGTGTTAATAAAAAAAATAATAAATCCGACATGCGCTCCTTCTGCACGAACTGAACAGAAAACTGATGATGCACAGGATCAATAAACTATAGTTATATAAGTAGCCAAGAGACCAACATGAATCAGTGCACGTTATAATAAATGTCAGTGTTGCACATCGTGGATTTTCTCATGGCCTGGCGTGAGTTCATCAGCCTGACAGTTAAACTGTCTCTGAATCTGGTGTGTGTCTGAAAAACATAATTTATTTCTGGTGTGTCCTCAGGTCAGACCACAATAATGCTTTATTTCCCCTTCATGAATGCATCCTGTGAAAAATAACCCCCCACAAATCATTTAATCTGCAGCTCACTACCGCCCCCTGGTGGACATAACCAGCTGCAGCCTGTTCGCGTCTGCTTTGGGTTTTATTGTTGCAAAGAGACTTTGAAAGGTTGAACTGGGTCTGATCCACATTCATCTGCTAATTAACTGGAACAACTCATGATTACGCACAGAAAATAAATAAACAGCTCTAATTTATAGGTTTGGGCTTTAGTTTGGCACTTTAGGAGCATCATCTCTCTGATGATTTGCAGATTGATGACGTCATTTACCAGCTGTCGGTGAGTTTTAGCACAAAGATCATTAGGGAGTGTAAAATGCTGCAAGCACCTGTCACAGAAGCTGCAGGTTTATTACAGACTGGGTGAAGCAGGAGTCTTTGAGATAAATAGCTCCGGCAGCACTGACGGAGAGACGAGCGCTGGTTGGTTTTTAAATGTAATAAGAACAGAAAGCGATGATTTGTAATTCTCCAAACCTCACACTTTATTCACAACGGAACAAAGTAAACAACAGATGGTGAAACAAAGGAATTATGGCATTTTGGAGGAAAAAACAAAACCAATTCAAGACCTGTCCAGGTGTCCCCCGTCCCTCACACAGTGACTGACAGACACCAGCTCTCCATGACAAGAGGCATGGGTACAAGAAAATGGATTAATGGATGATAGATGATGGATGGATTATGGATGGATGGACAGATGGTTGGATGATGGATGTATGATGTTGGATGGTGGGTGGGTGGATATGGATGGATGGATAAATCAATATCAGATGGATGATTGGAGGGATAATGGATGATGGATGGATGATGTTAGATGGCTGGATGGATGATTGATGGCTAGATGATGGAAGGATGTACTGTAGGATGGATGGATGGATGGATGGATGACAGATGGATGACAGATGGATAGATGATGATGGATTATGGATGGATGATGTTAGATGGCTGGATGGATGGATGGATGGATGGATGGATGATTGATGGCTAGATGGTGGAAGGATGTACTGTATGATGAATGATGGATGGATGGATGGATGACAGATGGATAGATGATGATGGATTATGGATGGATAGATTGATGGATGGCTGGTTGTTGGATGGATGGATGGATGGATGATGGATGTATGATGGATGGAAAGATGGATGTAT